ACTCGTTATACAAATTGTACCTAATTTATTCAGATTTTCAGTTAAATGACCTGAACAGCGTTGTTGGATTAGGAGTGATTAGCCCTAGGCCGCCCCCGGTCGCTGTTGTACCTCAGTCCATTTGAGCGTTATTCCCTGTGGAGATCAGCCGATTAGCACGAGATGCAATACACCGCATGAAAACATTGAACTGCATTGGTTTTCTTTCCAGCGGCCTAAGACACAGCTTCCTTCACAATTTTAGCGAATATCTAACTATGAAGGTTCTGCAAATTTAATGTCTACAACAGGGCATTAAAAAACCTATCCTTCCTGCAACCGGACCAAAATCATGCATAAGTTCCCTGCAAGAATGTGAAGATATAAACAAAGGGTCACGTTCTAAAAACCATCATGATGTGTCACCAGTTTTATGTAAATGAAGGTATAAGCTACATTCATAAAGAATTAAGCAATTTTACTAATCATTAATCGATCTGGAATAGGGGCTTTGCTATACTAATAACCTGGTAAGGATTTTAACAATAGAATGCAGGTGAAAATGTACAAATGAAGCTCAAATTGGGGGAGGTAATCTTTGGGAAATGGGGGCAGGCATTAAAACAAACAAAATTGGTTATTGATTGATGTCCTTGTGTCCATCGAAGTTTTTAACAAACTCTTTGATGTAGATATAGGCAGTATCTTAAGATGACACCTTTTCCCATACAACAGCATAGTAGAAAATTTGTTTTAAACAGTTAAATTACCATGATATGCAATATACAGTAGCGGCCTTGGGTGCATCGACATAGCAATAATTTGTGAGCATTTTCAAATTATAACTAAGATTCTTAAGCCAGATCAAAAACTGTTAACTTTTATTGAACAAGAATTATTAAAAACATTCTCAAGGGTTCACAGGTAGCGGTACCATTTCAACCTGTACCAGACACAAATAAAGAATAGGCTGCTTTTGTCTTCATGTTTCTACTTCTGACGAATACGAAAGAAACGAAGGTGCTTCTTGCAAAAAGGTATATTTTTAAAAAGATTTTCTGCAGAACTTTAGTCATGAATGATTTCCTGCGACCACCCGGTCGCATGGTCGGATGGGTTCTCATACCCTGGTCACTCTACAAGCTTTTCAAACAATACTTGTCATCCGTAAGATCTCCATAAAAGAGAATTGTCCAATCTAAGTATCAAACATCCAAGTTCTTGACTTATTCGTCTAAACATTCTTTTTCTTCAAATTTTCCTCAAGTTTTCGAAATTCTTCTGCATGGAGAAATCAGGACTTAACATACAAAGATTACAAACTAAGGATCTAATTCTGCTTAAGCTCTAAACAAAACTGAATGTAGATTTCTGGAATCAAGGAGTTATGATTCTCTCTAAACTTTAAAATTTTCCGCAACAAAACGTGCCATATCTTTCGATTAACCAGAATCCTCACAAACTATGTAGGCAAAACTTTCTGCATAACACCATCACCCAACGCTGGAATCTCTCTTTCAAACAGGTAGAAATTTTTCTGCATAACAACTTCATTCTAACACTTGAATTTGTCTTCTAGGAAACAACTTTATCAACCAACGCTGAAAATCTCTTTCAACAGTCAAAACTTTCTTCAATCTAAACTCGTGTGTCGTGTGGTTTTAAATAATAACGATCAATGTAAGTAAATTGTACCAGGAAAACTTTTTAAATAAAATTTATTTAAAAAAATTTTCCTGGTACAATTTATTTACATTGATCGTTATCATAGCTTTATATTGTACCGCACGCAATATAGTATATCTATGGTTTTAAATAAGATTATTTGAATGAGCAAGATAAATTTTTGGAAGAACTATGAGTAGCAATTTTTTGGAAGAACTATGAGTAGCAATTTTAACACAACGTGCTTAGGAGTTGTTTTAATAGTGCCATCAGGGTTAATAAAATCTAAGAAGATAGGGTATTGTGTTGGGGGGGGTGTGGCATAAATTCGGGTGCTAGTGCAAGCAATATTGGGTACTGAACACCAGTTTCCATTTTTTATTTATTTGCCTAATTTCCAAACAGAAGTGTAATTTCACAGTTCATATTCTTCATCTTTCTGCTGATAAAGGGTTGATGCCAAAGGATGGCTGCTAAGCAGATATGATGTCTTCAAAAAGTTTACAGGTCCATATAGACATTGAATAGATTACATTGATTTCTAGTTTTTAGCAGAATCCGTCTGTAAACGATATATTTGGAACTGTTGCGATCTGAATGAAAATTGGAACATGTATTAACGAATAGAAGACTGATAGCATCAATGCCTCATAGTATGCGATTAAAATGATTACCAAGAGAATCAGAAAATATATTGCCAACCTTGGGAGGAGAAGTAAAATGCAAGTTGGGTTGTGTGCGAGCTCTAAAGCAAAACCTTCAAAGACATACCCCAAGTTTTCCTGTCGTTGGCAAATGACGCAACCTTACCTCGGCCAAGGCATCCTCGATGTTACCCATAAAGTGCTTCAAAGCCAGGAATGATGCTTGATTTTATGGGACAGGTGACTTCCTATATCACTTGCATTCAGATTTCACGAGGTTTCAGTCACAAGTGGCCGGACCCTACTAAAACAACAACCGTACTTCTACCAGCATTCCCATTAAGCACACAAAGCAGACGAGATAAATGTTTTGATATCCACATTTACACTGCTGCATCAAGAAGCTATACAAAAAACACAAAAACGAACTAACAACACAACTCCCACCACATACTGCCTTTCCTTTGGAGAAACAAATGAAATTAAGCTCTAGTTTGAGACCATAAATCTTTACCCTGAAGACATTTGAACTTATGGCTGGTTTTATTGACCAAAAATACTGTAGATGTGAACTCCACACTACAATTTAATTAGTAGTAAGTTACCAAGCCTCAAGTAGATCTTTACTAAATCAGAATAATTCCACTTTTAAAATTCGTTTTGTTGTCGTTCGGTCACCCTTTTACTGTTCATTTTTCATCTTTGTTTTATTCTTTTTCTCTTAGATTTAGCTGAATTCGCATTCTTGCTCGCATTGTAAAGACCACCCACCCCTGGTACAGTGTCGTTGAATTTAAAAAAAATATTATGTCGTTGTACAGTGTCGTTGAATTATACTTTACGGTTTGAAATTATAGATATGAAATGATATGATATTGTTGGATATGGCATTATACCATATGATACGCAACGCCACCGAGAAGGGGGCCAGGGAGGCTTATTCCCCAGGGCCCTGAGGTCTGGGGGGTCTAAATACTAATAGCAAGTATTAATGTTTTAACGACTTCAAGAAAATGACTGCAAGGAATATTTTGTACATGTTCCAGAACAAGCATATCATATATCATATAACATATATCATAAATTGAATAATATATTATATCATATTACATTATTTTATAACGTTATATTATATTATATTATATTATATTATATTATTTTATATTATTATATTATTTATATTATATTAATTATATTTATATTATATTATATATATTATATTTATTATATTATATTATATTTATATATTATATTATATTATTTATTATATTCATTATTATTTATATATATATTTTATATTATATATATATATTATTATTATTTGATTTATTATATTATATTATATTATATTATTATTATATTATATTTATTATATATTATTATTATATTATATTATTTATATTATTATTATATTATATTTATATATATTATATTATATTATTTATATTATATCTGATTTATATTATATTAATTATATTATATTATTTATATATATTATATTTATATTTATATTAATTATATTATATTATATTATATATATATTATATTATATTATATTAATTTTTATTATATTATATTATATTATATTATATTATATTATATTTTATATTATATTATTTATATTAATATTATATTATATTTATTATATTAATATTATATTATATTTATTATATTATATTATATTATATTATATTATATTATATTTATTATAATATTTTATATTATATTATATTTAATAACTTGATTATTTTTTATAATATTATATCAAAATATTTTATCATTTTTATTACAGGCGGAGGCTGGAGTCCCCCAAAAATTGTCAAACTGTAGCACATTTCCTTCATAACAGTGTACTGAATGAGAAGATTTAAATGGGGACAGCACTGTATTAAATTATATTGTAATATCAGAGAAGCATAGAAAAAATTCTTGGCTCAACAAATCCCCTGTGTTATTAACAATCCCCCAGTGAGATCGGTTGGTTGGTTCTTTTAGTTTTTCACCAAGTACTGACCCCTAACTTCTCACCTAGATGAAAAGTCTAAGAGAAAAAAGAACTCTTTCTGTCTAAAGTAGTCTCTCTTCCATGTTCACATTGTTTTCAATCCACATCTGGATAGAAATTTTCTGCTTGCTTTCGGTCATTATGTCTGAGGTCAATTTTGGTTATTATTCGATCATTATTTCCACTACTTTGTGCCATCTCCCAATTTCTGTATCAAAAAACACAGTATCAAAATACCTGGCTCAAAGTTTATCAGAATCATGGTTTATCTAACTACCAAAGCTGGACATTTACCAGACACCAAATGCATTTAGTTTTCCAAGTTGAGGCATTTAGCAGAGTATCACTAGCTAGCACTATATACTTTTGTTATTTAACATTTGCCCATTCCTTGTTGTCATCTGTCCACATTCTTCATTTAATTCCTGGTGATATGGGTCCAGGGATGTAACCTTCAATAATGCTACATTCACTATTTGCAAAACAAAAGCACCTCCCTTTTTGCTCTCCTAATTTGCTCTCCTTGAAATAAATTGTCCTTTGTTTCTATTCTTATTTACCTTCCAATAACTCACCTTGAAATGACTAGAAGAGCTGTTTACTGCTCCCCTGTTGAAATTTTTATTGCCAAACCTGATGCAGTATGACCCTTCATCTTGAGTTGCTATTAAAAAACTTAAAAAGGAGTTATTAAAACATTTACTTACAGATGCCAAGGAATCTGGTCCTGAATGAAACTCTCTATCTGCCTTTACACAAATTTGCTCCATGGGATTGTCAAAAAGATTTTCTGAAATTGGTTTTCTTTGTCTAAATGGCGATCTTGCAAAATGCTTTATTTCCATGTTATGCTCAATATACTTAGGACTCCATTGCGGCAAGTCTTCATTTAATGTAAGACCTTCAAGTCCATTAAAATCCTCATTGATGCTAGATTTCTTTTGGACAGGGGAAAGCGTATCTGGTGAGTCATATGAAACATCATCAAAAGACATCTCTTGAAATAATGAATTTATTTCCTCCAGAATGATCAATGAATTTAAAGGAAATTCTTCACATAATCCATCTCTGGTTATCTGGTGACAGGAAAATCCAAATTTCTTAGCTTCAGTCTTATGTGCAGAATGAGAACTTAGCATCGGATCAAGCATAAAAATATGACATGAGCACACATCTCCATACATTTGCCCTTTGTTCCTAGATTCATAAGGACTAGATGATAAATTGTCATAGTTTAGTTCCTTTCTTGTAACAATGCCAAATAATTTATCATCTTCTGGACAGGAACAAGTATAGCTAATGAGTTTCAGTGGATATGTTGCATAGTTTTCTGAGTGTGAACTGCTCAATTTTATTCCATTTCTTGATATGGTCATTAAAAAGTGCTTAGTTACTTTCTTAGATGTAACATGCAATGACCGTTTACAACTACTCAGAGCATTTTGACTTGCCAATGATAAATTTTTTGAGTCAGGAAGTTCAACTGTCCTCAGATACCCAACAACAACTCTATAATCTGAAAGAGGGGTCTCTTGAGCAAAGTCATTTGACAAAGGTGAGCTAAAATCTTGGCTCTTCTTTGTGTGATCACCTGCCAATCTGTGCTCCCTTAAAGACATTTCTGTTTTTGAAAATTCAAAAGGGAGCCTTGGAACATGGTCCTCAAAGAGGAGTTCATGTAGATGAGGTTTTGATCTTCGCTTCTGATAATGAGGTTTCTTCTCCCTGTAGTCCTCATTATCCTTGAAATGATTCCCTGATGTCAGATCCCCAACAACTTTATGAACAGTTTCAAGCACACTTTTATGAAAATCCTCTTTTTCATTGTGGAGGTCTCCAGCACTTTTTAATGCTGTGTGTGTTTCTGAAAGTCGACGAATTGTCAGAGCCAGTAAATTGTAGTTTCGCCTTAGGATGAGTCTAACAACTTGCTGATGAGATGAGGTGGAGACATTTTGATTGTTTACTTCGAGGATTTCATCCCCAATTCTCAATTTAGCAATATCTGCAGGCCCTCCTTTCGTAATACTGCTCACAACACACGGTGCTTGGTTGGAAAGCACGAATCCGTAGCCATCTTTTCCTTTTCTCACAGATATTTTCAAAATATTTGACATATGAATAGGATCATTTGTAAAAAAGGAATCAACATCTCTGCCCTGCATCTTCGTCTAAAGCCACAATAGTCAAGGCATCTGACAAGAATCAAAATAATTACTGCTACAAAATATATCATAAATCTCCGGAAACTAACAATTTGTTCTGTAACAGAATTACAGCAACGACATTACAAAAGTAAACAAAAGGCCCGATCAACTCCATCATCAAAGATCTTCCTCACATGCGAGCGAATTCCACGGTATAAAACAAACTATAGTCCGAATGATGCACAGCCATTAAACAAGTACAATATCCTCCCATCCACTTCATAGCTATGAATTGTAAGGCAATATTTTGTTTATAATGGTTCCCACGTTCGCACTTTTCTTTCCCTCGCTTTTCATCCTCTCTAGTTCCGTTGCCCTCCCAAATTTTTTCAAACAAATTCTCCTCCGCAGGGCAAATTCTTCGACTCACATTCGGCACAATATCGTCCCTGCAGTCCTTGGTTAGTTCTAAAGTGCAAAGGCTCATAACTTAATTTGAATATTGCAAAACCAATTTTTATAACAAAATTTATTAATGTGTGTTATAGTTTAACTTTCCGTATTGGCGGTGGGGTAGACATTGTGTGGCATCGATTTTGTAGTTTATTAAAAGGGGCGGATTTAAGCATTGATTGGGGGGTGTTAGATACTAATTTTGGTGTCATACCCTTCAGGTCACTGGTAAAATATGGAAACGCCCATTTTTAAAAATTTATTTTTAGCTTTAAGGTACAGACGATAAGAAGCAGTGACGTAGTCAGGGCTGGAAGATTGCAGAGGCAACGGAAAGAAAAGTTTTGCTGGCAATTTCGCTTGATACAACATCTTTTGTGGCTCACCCCATTCTACAACTGTCCATTCCTTCACAATTCCTCTAACATTTATATTGTGAATTGTGCAAGATGAGGAAGCACTATATGGAAAAACTGATTTTCCAAAGTTGTAATCAAATATCTCAAAATAGTAAACAGTATTCAAAAGCTTCAAACTAAGTCCATTCTCCTTGGAGCAAAATCCCCGACAAGCATTTCAGAATCCAGTTTTAAAAAGATTGTAGCGCTTTAGCATTTTAGTTTCTATATTATCAGGAATGTCTAAAAAACGTGAATGACTTTTCTATATAAACACTAAAACGAGGGGAAATTGTTATAAACAATAAAACGAGGGAAATAGATGGGGTCCTCTGCGAGCGAAGCGAGCAGGAATTCTTGTAGCCACGTTCTATTCTAGAACTTATGAAATTGTCTTTTAAAAGATGCACATACTATGTGGTTTTAGCGACATCAAAATTTGAACCCTTGCTGATTATGGGATTTCCCCAAATAAGGAATTCTCTAATTTCCAATCGATGGGGCTTTTTACTGGTTATTCCCAGCATAGTATGGAACCTATGTGCCAAATTTCAGCTTTATACTATTTTTGTCCGAGAAAATCGTTATTCCACTACACTAAAAGGTAACTTGTTTGAACCCCCCACACCCCTCTGTCAAATGCTTTGTCGTGAGTCTTTATTTTACCTTTGTCTCCTCCACTTTCCAACTTGCATCGGGGCTCTTGTATCCCATTCACTTTAAAAAGTGTTTCAAACATACAAGCCACACATGCTAAATAATCTTATCTAAATACCATAAGTTTCTTTTAAATACTTTATTCTATTACGTACAATGCACTTTAGGGAATCAATTTTCTGGACGAAACTCAGTACATCATCATTACTGGACCGTCACGTGGCTTCAGATCCACTGCAGCCATTTGGTCTCTATTCGAACCGAAGGACATTTTTGTTCTGCCTCTTTTGAGAAGGTCCACAAAGAGAATAAAGAGGCTCAGGAGACTGATGCTCGATGAGGCAACCATCAGCCAGAAAGAGTAGCCAAGATCGCTGCGATCCTTCGTCGAAAAGCCATCCGCCAAGTCGACTTTGCTCAGAAGTATGTTTCTCAAATAATGCACGTAGAGGAATAGGTACGAGCCAACTGCAATCGTATCTAGGAGAACTAAAAGAGATTTATTAGCCAGCTAGTTTACGGCTTTGTTTTAACGCCTAAATAGTGAATATTCCAGTGAAAAATACAAATTGTTTAAGTAAGAGCCAGTCAAGAGAACAATTTGAAAAGAAATATATGATCGGTTGCAAATTAGATGGTAAGGGGTGTTGATAAACAAGGCTTTGCCATGAAATCGTAGCTTTATTAAAGATACAATTCATCTTTGTTTTGTTTGCTAACCATCATTAAGATTTTTAACAACCCAAAATAATCAATAATCCAAATTGAAACACCAAAGTTGAAAATTGTCAATAGGTTTCCATTGACATCGATCCGCTTCTTATAATCAATCATAATTTTGTTTATGATATATGGCAATGATATCATAACATAATAAATAGTAGTAGGCAATTAAATGCAATATTGTCGATGTGAAATTATGCCGATGATACTGTGAAAAATGATGCGGGAAATTATGTCGATGATAAGAACAAAGATTTTCTTCTTTCTTTTACATTTAATGTTATTGTGACTCTGGGGTTCACGAACAGTTTTTTAATGGCAATCTTGGACTTAAAGGGGAGTTTATGTTAGTATTATCATAAGTAGGTTTTTCTTATATTTTTCTGCATTTTTTAGAAATGTTTATCTGATTTTACATACTTAACGCAATAACCTAACTTATGTTAAATTTTACATGAATATGCATATTTACTCATTGCTTATATTTATAATCTATCCGCACTGATCAAAGCTTGATTAAAGGTTCTAGGAAGGTAATTATTTATCAAAATATTCTAAGGAAAATTTCATTCTTTGTAAACTAACACCATGCGTCTTCGACATCGTTGTAATATTCTTCTATCAAGTATCAACCCAAAATTATAAGCAATTAGCATAATTTAGCATCCAGATTCCGCAAGGAACAGCATTTATGTTTCAATTACTCTAGTCAAAGCTACAATGCTGCTTACCCAAAATCTTGGTACACAAAGCAAAACTTTTGCATAAGTTAAGTAGCATCCCCCTCCCCTCCTTGAAACAACGTTGAATAGCAAAAGTTTCAAAGCGTAAAATTCAATCAATGTAACTCTATCAGCTAGGGTAAGTAATGGGCCTTTAAACCAACATTTTTTGGGGGAAAGGGAATGTCTCTGTATCTTACGGTCGGAAACTTTCATTTCATCAAAATCTATTATTGACTGCAGGGTTTCCCATTGACTTTTGTCCAGAATTGTAGATTGAAGTGGAATCTGTACACTGGTTTTTGCATTGGTGGCCTTTCTCACTCCCAACAATGTTTTTTTGTGAAAAGCACCGTTACTTTGATTTTGGTATATAAAGCAGAGAACTAGATTTTGACCTTTACCTTTGAATAAAATTTCCAAAAACATTTGTGAAAGGCATCTAAAATGATACAAAGAGAAATCAACGCACCTATTAATGAAAACACAATGAGCGGCATCCTTGTTTGCAGCATGGTAGACGTGGATCTAACAAGTTCGTTGTAAAAGGACAAGTATATCGACACAACCAGAATGACTTCAGCTAGGCAGCATGATGCTAAAGTGACGTAGACCAAGTCAGATCTCGCAATGCTTTTTGCCTCGTCTAAAGCTAAGAGAAAAAAATCTTCGTATTAATGAAACTAATAATTTTGATACAAATAGATGGTCATTGTTGGGCAGAAGAGTGCTTGAGACCAGCAGAATCAGTCTCAAATTATCATTGATCAGTGTCACTTCACACTAGGAAATAGTTCTTTTTGAGCAGTGATAAAAATCCTAGAGGAAAAGGATTCGATAACAAGAGGGACAGGCAGGGAACATAGAAAAAAACTGACAATGCTTGACAATAGAACAGCAAATCATGACGATCAAGTTAAAAACAGATTTTATTGTACGCTTATTTTTAGTAAGAACCAAGCTCAAAGACGATAAAAAATTAAGAACTTAAGACTACCCTCAACATTAAGAAACTACCTAAGAATCGTTCTTTTAAAAGGTGGGGTAAAAGAATCCTTTTCGACGATTAGGCCCCCATTTTCTGTATAACTGACATAGAAAAATAGAAAGACGAGATCCTTATGATATGTCATGTTACGCTCTTCCCCTCCAAAAAATAGTTCTTCAGCATTTGGTATTAAACAAAACTTTAAGAAACTTTTAACATTGAAATCAATGGAAAAACTAAGGAACTAAGTGCTTTCGCATGAAAAGATGAGTGTAATCTGCCCTCTCTTTTTGATAGGCCTTTAGAAAAATGATTCTTTACTTTACAGATTAAGACGAGTCTCGTATTTTTACCCCTCAATTGTGTGGCACCGTACCCACAAACTGCAACCACTTCCTTACAATGTAACTCATTATCGGCCGAATCAGGTTGCTTTTAGCGACAACAGTCTCAAATTCTTAGGACCACAGATCAGGGATGTACTGCTCTCAAAATAACAAGGGGGCTCTTGCACAAAACGCCGTGAAAACAATAGCAAAAGTAGAAATAGCTATTTTGGCATTAGTAAGGGAGGCTCAGCCCCTCTGAGCCCCCTAATACTACAACCCTGCCACAAATCTGGAATTGTTGGCCAAATGAACTAAAATCGTCAGACAACCTAAACACGTTTAAACGTTTGAAAAACAATGGGATGGTCCCACGTGCTTCTGCAATGCCTGTCATTTTATTGTAAATAATGTATAAACCACGAAGAAAATTATAAAATTTTTAAACTTTACTTTAACCAACGTATTGTTTTAGCAAACTTAAATTTCCTCAGCCATCGATTTAGATTAGTTTACCTGTACATTTGTATGTTGTAGACTAACTATTTGTAATTGATGTAAAACAAATACACAACAACGACTGCAAAGAAGAGCCAACCAACCGTTTCAATCCCATAGTTGATATAGACTATGTTTGTTTCGGAAAAACCAGAGAATCTTCTAAAGCGTTAGATTTTAATCAAATGGTAATTAATTCTAATAAATACTACCATTTACTATTATTGTGTTCAGAAAAACTTGTTATCTCCCCTGCACTCCTGAGTTTTTGCCTCTTTTGTTGTTTACGCTGAAATCCAAGTATCGTGAAATCAGCTTAGAGGTTGTTGTTGTGTTCTCTCCTTGCCCTAACAAAATGAACAAAATTCCTCATTTTCACTATCGACTCCCGTAGCATGTGCAGGGAGTCCTTGACTATGTTCCCTCTACTTTTCACAAATAAAACGCTTAACAAACGCTTACTTGAACAAAAAAAAAAATCGACTCAAGAGTAATCAATCAACATACCATTGAAACATCTTGTTCTCTCTTGAAAATAATGCCCGTATTTCTTTCGCTCGCATCCACGAAACAGACCAAAATATTTAGAACCAGCCTGGAAAACCTCGTTTTGCGTTCTGTTTTGAGAACTAACTGCAATATGCCTTACAATGCTGCCCTCTGTCCATCTGTTTGTACCCAACGCTGATGACAACAAAGTCATGGCGACCATGTTTAAAACGCCAAGAATAAAGTAATACCCTTTATGACGGCACTTCATCATCAACTGGTCGTCGGAGGCTCAAATTATCGAGAAGTATTCTTAAGCTAGCAATTTCTTTTTCTAATTATCTGGCTATTCCAAGCTGTAAATTGACATGGGTTGAACTGCCCATCAAAAGTTTGCATCCATATTTGATGTTGGCCTAAGAGTTATTTTTGTAAAACATTTAACATCGGAGAACACTGCATTGATTTTGATAAACCACAACAGTGCCCATGTTTTAGTATTGTTATTCATTCTTTCGAAACAGACGCATTTAAACAAATTCAATCGGATTTAAGTTCTGCAATCCTTTTAAATGGCGTGGCGGTGCTGTGGTTGTGTTGGCGTTATTGTGTTTTAATCGTTCACGTCCATCGAACTGAATGTACCCTGATTTAAATTTTAGATGCAAAAAGACTTTCTTTTTGCGGTCTTTCTGCTCGTTCATCGTGTGAAAGATTTCGTGGAAAATTTGTTTAGACGAATGGATAATCGTTTTTGTAGTTGCACCATTGGACTTTGTAATGAAAGGTCTTTTAAAGTTGGGATGTAGCTAGGGGGCTCAGGGGGCGCAGCCCCTTTGTTTACATGTCTTAAAAATGTGGAGGAGCTCAGCCCCTTTCCTCATTTTTTGTGCTTGGATACAGCCAGAAACCATGTATCGCAAAGAAAACGGTGAAGAATTGTTTGATACACAAAGTTTGCCATACATAGACAGTATATTCTTGAAAGGTTTCTTACTGAGTGCGTTTAGTTGTAGCTTTGTATAGACAGTTGGTTTTTATTGCCTATTGTTGCATTTAGAAAAGGGGTTGATAGCCTGAATCAACAAATGGTTGCTAATTATTTGACTCTGTTTTGGCTACTCTTAAAGTTTGATGCACTACACTCTTTCTTATAAGAACAAGACAATCTTTGTCAACGTTCGATGTTCTTATTTCTATCTTTTAGATAATTTCAATGTCGGGTGCTCTTGACGATGTCGTTAATTCAAAATTGTTTTTCTATATCTGCAAACTAGGAATATTTTCTGTCTACTGAATGACAGTTTTGCATGACATTTTCAGTAGCTGATAAAATCTGCTCTGTTTTGTTAACATGAGAGAAAATGTGTCAATTCAAAAGCATTGGGTCATAATAATTAAAAGAATGCTAATGGATATTGCGTAGGATCTTCCTTATCAAAGTTGAAAATAATTAATTTTTATAACCACCTCTAGAATGTCATATCCCAAAATTTTTCTCCCGCCTACTGGTGGTGCCTACTGGTGGTGGCTTCCACTAAATCCCTGAGCAATATAAAAAACTGCCCTCTCAATTTCAATGTAGTTTCCCTGGGCCCGTTTAATGGTACCGAGGTTCTGAACTCAACTTCCGCTCAACCAGTCAATGTATCTCAAATAATCAGGAAGAAAACATCAGTCCTGGTCATTTCCAAATTTCAATGACAAGAACAACTTTTATGACTACATCCCTGCTGTTGAGTTTTGAACTTTACGATCTTCTAGCTTACATTATCATATTGGGATTACGTAATCAAAGCACGAACAAGACAGGATACGCACACATGTCAAGGTACAGATAAACTAGAAATTTTCATAAACATTTCAATCACGTTTCAAACTTTTGCAAAAACTGAAAATATGAATACAATGGAACATCTGAAAGCAAATGAATAAAACGTTACTGACGATGCCCTGTCTAATATTGATTGTTTTTCATAAAAAACATGAAATTCTATATTTCGTAATAAAGAATATTTTTGTTTCTAAAGACAGACTTTTGAAGAATGAGCCCATAACAAAATAGAGCATTTATTCCATCTGAGACATTTTTGTAAGATTTTTGGTCACTTCTTCTTCTTCTTCAAGATTTTCTGTTACTTCTGAATGTTCGTAAAAATAGGATCAGTAATTTTAAATTTTAAGTTGCAAACACTGCTATGAAAAGAAAATTGCTACTTCTTATAGAAGCCAATACTTATATCGGCTGAAATAACCCAAATTTGCTTTTGTAACTTTAACGTCTCATGTAAAGAACTTTGTGTTTCAATTTTATGCCCATCATTGTTAATTTTTTGCTTGTCTTAGTGGCCTACAGCGGGAAGAATCAATTTGGCTTTCGAAATCGCCCTTATTTACGTTGGTTGACGTAATACTTTATGCTAGCTAGTTATACTTTAAAATGGTTTTGTTTCTTGTTTAATTCATTTCTTTTGTTGCTTCATAACATAGTCCTTTTTTATATCTCTTATTCTTAGTTATACCTATGATGTGCAGATTGTTTTAACACATTTCCAGTAGTCCCCCCGATCTATTTTCCTCGCCTTTTCCATATTTACCAATTTTTTCTCTAAATTCGTCAGATGCATCCCACATGTGTGTTTATCAATTAGAGTCTCGATGTTTTCATCGAATTCTTATTGCAGCTCGGAGAATTTTCCCTGGCATATTCAAAATGTGAGCAATGGTGAAAATCATCATGGATTTATGATCTGTTGTTTATTCTTAACAAATTGTCTTGTTTATTGTTTAAATAAACTGGTCGAATACTTTATTTTCGCACAACCCAGTATTGTGTGTGTGTGTGATTTTTCTATATTGGTTGAAAATAATGTTCCTTGATATTTCCTTACACTATTTTGCTTTCTACAAAAGAATTTGTTATCAATGCTACTCTGGTTTTTTTAACGTGCACTTCTTGTATGGTGAGACGACTCTCCGCCCAGGACTGACAGAGCATGCGCAGGGAACGAAGTCATTATGACTCCAGGACGGAGGGTTGTCTTCCCAATAAGTTCTACACACAAAATTATAAGGCAGTTCTTTAGAAAATTTTTTGCAGTTCTAAAATTTTGTCTTTGATGAGAAAAGGAGTAATGAAAATGTTGCAAAATGACATATAAGCAGAAAAATCAATCAAAAGTTTCAAAGAAAAAACAAATAAAAGTTTCAATGCTAAAGCAAACAAAAGTTTCAATGTTGAAACAAACAAAAGTTAACAAGGATGGCGCTCAAAATAAACAAACGCCTTTTTGGAACATATAGGTATAGAAAGACATTATATGGTAAGGAAATTTAATGTATACGAAGCTTCGCTTTGTCTCTTCATTTTAGGTTCACGCATACACGAAGCACGAAACTGACAGCTTCAAAGCAGAAGCCTGGTGAAACTCTTGATCAAAGTGAAAACTTAGTGCCAAAAATAAACCACGTCGCCAGTTCCAAATTCAGATTTTAAAGTCGTATGGTTGAACCACACAGACAGACAACTAAATGGGAGGCAGTTACAGAGGCGAAGCCAGAGGGCAGGCTGGTCAGGCTAACAATTTTGAGTGATATGTTTTTTCTATATTGAAAATAACAACTCACAGAACGAAAAGTATTCGTTCTTCGCAGCCCTCTCTAGGATCTTCAGATCAGGAACCTAGGTATGAGTAGTAATTGTACAACTTAATAAGAAGACATTATAACTGCTTCCTAATACCGCTCTGAATAGACCATTCGACAGTTCTAAGAAAATCATTTATTTTTAAGGTCACATTTTTAAGAAAACTCTAGTGACAGACGTCGGGGAAAGAAAAAAGGGGACGTTTGGTTGGTTCAAAGTGCATATCGATACGAATAACAAGAAGCTGTTGTATTGATTGAGATGATGTCACTTCCTGAACAGAAATGCGCATCTACTTAGTCTCGGGTATTTTCAGTGGGCCATGTTAACGCATCCAAAATGCAGACATTGCAATGATACAGAAAATTATCTAGTCAATTAATGCAAAAAATAGACAAATAATAGAAATATACCTAAACAAGTTAGTAAATAGATAAAAGAAAATCAAACAGTATATAAGCAGTTCATTCTATTTTATTTCTTACACTTTTTCAAAAACAATAGAAAATACGGTCAAACAATTTTTATCTCTAAAAAGGTTGGGGGCTTGAGCCCCCAAGCACCCTCCAGTGGTGCCGTGCCTGCAAGTTTGAAACTCGAAGAACCAACTTCAAGCCGTCCTGTTCTATGCACCAAAAGCGGGTACAGCTCTGCCAGACCGGTAAACAGTAATTTCTATTTAATTAGCGGCTAGCTATAGTTAAATTTATACTTTTCAGATTACACTCTTTTTCATATTTATTTTTTTATATTTAAAACATGCTATAGATATTTGTCCAGCCTTACAATTCTTAAGAAACGTTTTGAACCTGAATATATTCCTAAAGATTTTAGATTTTTCTAAATCTGATATAGTTTCAGGGAAACATCGCCTGCCCTCAAATAGACATTAAGCTTTCGCCCTAAAGACGAAATTTGTCAGTTCTGCGATTCTCTGTAATTAACATTGCAAAACAGGCAGCTGTTGACAGTGAGACAAAAATGCGTGCTGAGGCTGAGCACTTAAGATATTCTTAAAAACTGCATGATGCTGAGCCTGAATATTCTTATAAACAATATTCTTATAAAATAATAAGTGTAGTTTTTTCTAGTCTTTCAACGAAACGATCATTGGTGTGGTGATTACATGTTATTTCGCGCTGTGTAATTTGACGTAATTCTTTTATTTGCACTATGTTTTTACAAACGTTCCATATTCACTGCAGGGGGCAAAATCAATATAAAAAGCGTCAATTAAGGATCTCACCCTTTGCACTATATCAAAGCAGATGTTCAGATTGTGAAATAGGTTATAGCAATGAAACATCAAACATTAATCTGAAGCAAACAACGTTGATTGCTGAACAAAACTGTGAGCTAGCTTATTAATCTCCCAGAAGCCAATAAATCTTGGAAAAACATTTATCAAATTGTTTTCGTGACTATTATTACATAAAACAAAACATGTTATGAGATTAATTTATGAAGCCTTACATATTCCAATCTTTATCAGAAATCTTTCTTTACAAAGTTTCCCTTACTATACAACTTGGTATGTTTTTCTCTTAGGCCTGGTTCAGACGGCGTACTATTCATGTGCCGTATTTAATGAGCTAATTGATTCGAATAAAATAGGAAATACGGCAGTTGATTCAAACCCCGTATTAAATGCAAACCGTTTTTACTTGGTTGTTATTGATCTACCATGAAAATCGTTGTTGTTAAGCATTTTTGAGTGAGAACCGCAACCAAGATGGGGATAATGAACAAACTGAAATTTAGT